AGGATATAGGAAATGTGAATAGGCCAGGGCAGAATGGGAGATACCACAACTGTTTAGCACACGTTTGGTCTAAGGATGTGCTTCACTTGTCTCTTTGACGAGTTGTAATATGGTACTACGAATGACGAGACTCACTGACGATGGCGGCGAAACGTCTGGTAATGTACCACGACCACGGTCCTACTCTGGAAATGATGATGCATACAATGGACTCCGGAAAAAGTGCGTTCCTCTAAGTCTTCTTACCAATATGTCCGAGTTGCGAAAACAAGGTCAAAAAATTTTTACCTACTTCTTATTTGGACCACTTACTTAGGCATATCATGTTATAGTTAGACATCGTATACTTTGCCTAAATGTTTGCTTACAAGATAAATTAAGTGGCTGCTGATGAATCGTGAAACAGGTGCAATTGTGACCGAACAGTTGTATCGTCTCATAAAACACGTATGCCTTTGATCCTGCAATGTTGCCACATGTGATTGCGTCCCATTGCATGCGTGTTGTGTAAGTGCATTTCTCTTGAAATGAATGCGGCCAATATGCGGAGTTTTTAATGGGCACGACGTAAAGGTTTCAATAATAATACTAACCAACCTGGCGATTCACGGTACATATTTTTCCTTTACTGGTAATCTGTACGAACAAACACGAGATTTAGCTATGGGATAGTGTTTGTCTTCAATTTTAGCAAATAATTACATGGCTCAATTTGAGGCACTTTCAGTTCGTAAATTATTAGTTTTCCATATGGACGACTAAATTGTTATTTGGCAGCATGACAAAGAAGTAATGGAGAATTTTCATGGTTTGATGAACAGGACCAATTGGAAGACGAAATTCATCATAAAGTTAGAAAAGGATGGTGGTTTGCCTTTTCTTGATGTCTTAGTCAGCAAAGAGGGGAACAGATTAGGTAGAGATGTGTATGAGGAACCCACAAATGCAGGTTTGTTTATGAATTTTTTCTCCAACCACACTTATCAGGTTAAAGTAGGAGTTATGAAGAGGCCTGCGTCTGGTAGGTGTTAAACATCGGGACCAGGAGAATTCTGGTTGACAAATATTTTATAATATTGTCAAATAGAATGAAGGTAAATACATATTTGGGGCTAGATAAAAGGATAAATCACTCTACCAGGATCCTTATGCTGCCATAGTGTAATTTGTCGAAGAAGATAGGCGAATTACGGAGGAGCTTGGATATAAGGACCATTTATAAAAAGAAAATAACACTTTCATCGGTATTATCTTTTTTCTAGAATACTTTGACCCACTATCCAGATTGGGCTGTTACAAGATTTTGTGTTTATATGGTAGTGCCTATGTGGGAGTGACCTGTAGGCCCATACATAAGAGGCCATCTGAACACGAAACAGGTCTGTTAGTCCAAAAATCGGAATTGGCCGAATATGTAGTTCGCACAGGGCACCAGATGGATTGGCCCAATGCCGCTTAACTTAAATTTAGAGAAAACATTTAGTCAAAGCCTAGGATAGCAAATTATAACATTATATGCCTAAGTAAGTAGACCAAATCGGACTATAAGAAGTAGATAGGTCTGAAGCTGGCCACCTTTCTTTCCTTCGTGTTTTTAATAAATTCTCGTAGTGTGGCGTCCTGCTCTGACGATATCCGTCACATGACGGACGAAAGGTCAGCCAGGATTCATCGGGGTCGCAGGGCGGTGCGCCGAAGACCTAATTACACAAATCTGCAATCCCCCTACACTTCCGATGAGACCAACTTACGAATCCCTTCCAATCGCCTCTTTAAGCGAAATCAAAGGTATTCCAATACCGCCTATATTAAGAGTCAACAACAACAATGGAGCAACACACAAGCTAGCGAAATTTATTTGCTTAAAGTTCAAGAAAGTAATTACAGATTCTCGAGCACCGTGAAGAATTCATATACATTTTTCACATGATCCAAAACAATGGGCTTGAGGGGATGGAAGTATTGATAAATTTTGACGTACATCCAAGCGTCTCAGGCGAGAAGTGGGTAAGCCCCCTGCTGGAGATATTGGAACGATAGGGGTATTTCCTGGAGGCAGAACGGATATGGAAGGAGTTGTTGACACAAATGATCAACGTATCAGTAAGTGCCACTTATTTTAGATTTAAAGGCAATATCTA